TATTGGCACACGTGTCGTGTTGTGGTTGGAGCACGTGTCACTTCTCATTGGACCATATGTCGTATTTTAATTGGTCCATGTGGCCACAAGATCCCACTTGTCGCTCCTTTTTTTACTCGACCACGTGTCACAATGTTGTGCGTCCAGGTGTCAATTTTTTATTGGACCATGTGTCGCGCCCTAAACTTCCCATGCGTCTTTTTTATTCAACCACGTGGCAGGACAAATTTATACCATGTCTTGGATTTGAATTGGCCCACGTGTCCTGTCTTGGCTCTTACACGTATCATTCACTAGTTTGTCCACGTGTCAAACTTTTATTTAACGATGTGGTCTATGCCATATCTACCACGTCTGGTCGTCACAGTTCTAAAGCAGATAGTCATAGATGAGCGGGAACAGTTGCATGTGTGATCTGTGATGAAACCCTGTGTCATTCAATGATGAATTTTTGTGACTATATTTGATTTTGTCACAAATAGGTAGGACAAGAGGATCGTCACCAATGTTCCATGATGAAACAAAAAAATTCATCATAGAAATCGATCTTCTATGATAGTTTTTTATTCGTCATTAGGATTTTCGTCATAGATGTGCATATTTCTACTAGTGTTGTGTGGTAGAGTTGCTGATTTGTGAGTGGGAAGATTGGATTGCATGTTCAAGGGCAAGAGGAGGATGTTGTATGTGCATGTCATTTGTTACCTATAGTCTAGGACTATTGGATACATAGAACAGAAGATGGTCATGAAAGAATCGAAGAGTATGTTCCCTGTATATAAACCTCCTGGTCCTACTGATAGAAGTAGAGGATTCCATGGTCTGAGGGCAGTACATGACTAGATGACAACAGCCGATCTAGCTAGCAATGAGGAAGCTGACTTAGATTTGCGAGAGGCAAAGGCATGTTCTAGACTTCAATGTTTGATCGGTGTTGCACTACTAGGTATCAATAATTAAGAATGAGGATTATACATTTCCTCAACCACCCGTTCCCATACAACAAGGTTCAAATGATCATGTAATGGGATCTAGTTTTGGGCCATCAATTGAGCCAAAAATAGCATATGCACAATTCGAGCTGATGCAATCCCTACAAGATGAACTAATTCATATGAGATAAACAGAAGAAGACATGTTTGTTGCTGTGATGAGAAAATAATAGAAGCACGATGAGGCACTGTCTTCATTATTTTTAGGCCAGCAGCATTGCTTGAGAAGCCGAGGGAGGACAGAGTGCATAACAACTACCAGTTTGCCAACATTTTCCAGCAAACTGGTATGCTGCTGCCTTCGCCTATTCCACCCAGTATGTAGCCTTTGTCACATGTTCGTCATCCTATGCTCCGTGACCTCTCGAAGGTTGTTGTTGTGGGGGTTGTTGACTTTGCATGTGATTGATTGTCTCTTGGGTTTCTTTGGCATCTGGGGATTCTCTGGTGATGTGCCCTTTTATTCTCCCCGTGGAAGAAGCAGTATTGCCTTCGGTGTTTCTGGCTTGTGTTTTGGTTTTTGTTCCAGGGTCTGCTCTGGTTGCCTCTACGGTTGTTTTGCTGGTGCAGAGGTCTATTATCTTGGTTAGGCTATTGCTCGTTGTGTTGGGCCGGTTGCCGATTTTGCTGGGAGTTGACATTGAAAACTTGTTGATTAGGGTCTCGCGAAGGTTGGTTTTGACCTCTATTATTCCTGAATGCTGCTTATTGTTTTGGGATCGAGTTTGCTGCTTGAACTGGTTTTGCTCTTCCATTCTCTTGTGAAGGTCATTGTTAGACCAGCAGTATTTCTCAAACTTGTTGTAGGGTTCTTCCATGGAAGAAGGTTTCCCCCTGGCCAAGTGTCCGACGAAGGGTCCAATGCGAAGGCCCTTGATGGCTGCCTCAATTGCTACTTCTTTGGGTACATTAGGTGCTCGTGCTTTGAGGTGCATGAATCTTTGATAATAATGCTTAAGCCTTAAGGGATTCTCCTTGATGTTGTTTGCACTGAAATAGATTAGGGAGGTCAACGACTCATTTGCGAAACCTTTGAAGTTTGCCATGATTTTGTCTCCAATGTATTCCCATGAGTAAACAGACTTGGGCTTGAGCATGGAATACCAAGTGAGCGTGTCCCTTTCTGCTACGATGACGAATGATTTAGCCAGCATTGTGTCATTTCCTCTAGCGGAGGTGGCAGCTTCCTCGAAGCTCATTATGAACTGACGAGGGTCTGTTTTCCCATTGAATTTAGGTAGGGATATGGTTTTGTAGGTGGGTGGCCATGGTTAGGGTTTGCAGACCTTCAAACAAGGGAGACTTGTTGTCTATTGGAGAGTGGGATGAGGCTGATTGGTGTGCCAAAGATTTGTTGGGATTGGGGGTTGGCTGGAGGTTGGCTTGGCTTTGTGTAGCTGGCAGAGGGTTGTTGGAGTTGTTGGTTGATGGGGGAGGGTTTGGCAAACAGGCTTTGAACATCAGCCTATAGGAGTACAAGTTGGTATCTCACCTATGCTGCTTGATGAAAAGCGAGGGATGCCTTTAATTGGCGGCGAAGATTGTGACCAACTTGTCCCTTTCTTGTTGAGCTCTCTATTAGCTTGGCCTGCAATTGTTGAAGTAACTGCTTTGGTGTTAGGGATTGGCTACTCTCCCCCTCGATTCCCAGCTGGTCTGCCGTAGGTACTTCCTCTTCTTCAACCTCCGCATTTTCCTAGGGAATAGGGGGGTTGGCACACATGTTGCGAGTGTTGCGCTTGGGCCTTCCCCATGCAGAGGCCTTCCTATTGGTTGGCACTATGGGTTTGTGTGTGTCCTAGCACGGTGGATGCCAATTTTGGGAAACTAGGGATCCGACAAGATGAAGGGAAGCGCGTTGCGACTTTTCATTCAATCGCCAAAGGTTTCCCTAGAAGGGCGAAGGCCTTCGATGGTTACACAATTACCGAGGAGCTTTCTAGGGTTCCGAGCCCAAATTCACTCTCTACTTCATTTGGGGCCAAGCCCTCCTTTTTATAGGGTATGGTTACATAATTTCCTAAGTATAATAATGCCCCTGCGCCAGCTAAGGCATATTTTGGTATATTCCTCTATTCAAATTTCATATCCTTCGTTTAACACCCTAGCCCATCAGTAGCATGTAGTAGTTGTGAAGTTGGCACATGTGGAGTTGTTGTTGGTGGATTTAGTACCACCTTGGAAGTCTAGGAGGGTGAGGGCCAGCTTATAAGCCTTGTCGTTCCAAACGTAGCGCCTCTAGGTTAACCCTTTTACATGAAACGAGGACGAAAGTGTAAGCGAGGTGCTACGCGTATGCAGGCCTTTTCCACATGCGGAGCTGGGCCATATAAGCAGTTTTTGGATGCGGGGTGTTACATATGGTATCAGAACATCAATCATTGATGCACGTGCCCATGGAGGGGTGTGCCATGGGGTGGTCCTGGACATCTGCCACATATATGTCGTGAGCTGCCGAGGGCGTCAGCCCTTAAGGGGGGTGAATGTAACACCTCAGCCCATTAGTAGCCTGCAATAGTTGTGAAGTTGGCACATGTGGAGTTGGTGGTGGATTTAGTACCACCTTAGAAATCTAGGAGGGTGAGGGCCAGCTTATAAGCCTTGTCGTTCCAAACGTAACACCTCCAAGTTAATCCTTTTACACGAAGCGAGGATGGAAGTGTAAGCGAGGTGCTACGCGTATGCAGGCCTGTTCCACGTGCGGACCTGGACCATATAAGCAATTTTTGGATGTGGGGTGTTACACTTCGGGCCTTCGTGCCATTTACATACCCAACCACCTTTCTTGATGGGCCCTGTCGAGCTAGACCTCTAGCCCAGCACGCCCCTTGGGCCAGCATCCACCTCTAGCTAGACCTTTGTCAGTATTCCTGCTCATGAAATCCATACAATGATTGGTTATATGTTAGTAAGCCTTTGGACGCGAGGCTTCGCCCCCAACAATAGAAGAAACCTAGCGAATCTACCAGAGGGTGATCTAGCGATACGCCAAAGGGCCAAGCGAACTGGGGCGGCGGCAGGAGAGGGAAGAGGAGGGACCGGAAGGTTACATCTTGATGGTTCCCTTGGGGCCGAGGTTGGTCTTGTGCACGTCTTGGAGACCCTTGGCGGCGTTGATGTTCATGTGCAGCGCCGCTGACTTGTTGAGCACCTCGGCGTTAGGGTTCAGCACGCGGAGCGACATGGCTGCTGCCTTGCCTCGCTTGCTTGACCCAGAGATCTCGCCAGCGGCAGCGAGGTGTTGTTATGAACCACGGCGAAGGGGGACGGGAGCGGAGCAGGGAGCAATAGGGTTTTGGGCGAGTGCGAGAGAAATGATACCAGCTACCTAGTCCAAGTCATGTGAACTTTATATGTATACTGTACTACCCGATACACTCAATGCAAACATTCCCAATTATATTCCTCCTACAGTCGTTGCATGCTACTAAACACTGCAGCGAAGCACTTTCAGCCCATATTAGAGACGACCGAGCGTCACCCCTAACGCGTCACGGGTGAACACAGCCGAACCTTGAAAAGTCAGTATAGATTAAAAGAACAGAGGCAGCAAGGATAAAAAAAAAAAAAAAAAAACAGAGGCAGCACGTTAGTAGCAAAGGCCGCACGTTCGCACGTAGTTTGTGGTAATAATATATTTATATTGCAAATACTCAGCAGTCCGTCCATCCATGATTGCCCATATCAGGGATGGGATTGACAATTTGGCAGCACATCGACGTGGTAAGGCACAATTTGATGCAACAAGGGAATAAAAAGAAGAATAAAAGAACATTATACGTTACAACCAGAATCGCAGTTTGCTGGCATATGCAAACACCAGCTCATTTCCATCACACGCAAAACCTTTTTCTCATGGACGTGAACACTTCAGTGTTGTTTGCTTCTACCAACGAAACAAACGCTGCAGGCACAATTCAAAGGCAGTGTTAGTTTGATGAAAAATGAGATAATGAAACTTGCAGTAGCGCAGGAAACATAGTTTCAGAGCACATAAATCAAGTGTCTTCAATCCAGATTGATTTGCATATCAATTCCAGTAAAATCATGGAACTAGGATGACAGTATTAGACCATATGTTTAAGTGAAAAACGTTGTTTTGTTTCCAGTAAAATTTGGCAGTTGTAAGTGTTTTGGGCACATAATGCTTTGTCATGAGTTTTCTCTCCAGGTGATTACCTTGATTTTCTTCTTTTTCTTCTCAATGTACGCAACGATCTCCATTTGACGCTCAAGAGTCTCCTGCAAGGTCTGCAAAAACTCAAATCAAAGCAAGTTTTTAAACAGGCTAATTGGTTCAGAAATATGCTATAATCATATACTTCGTAGTGTTTCAGGTTATTGTTTTTTATACAGAAAGATACGAAACTAACATAATGATTAAAATTACTAATTACATAGTATGTGGCTATGGTGTGGTAAAATGAAAAACATGGTTTTCCAGCAAGGTGCAGATGATACCTTCTTTGTAGCTGCAAGCTCCTCTTCCAGTGCACTAATGCGGATGACAGCAGCCTGCAGAATCTCCTCCTTATCAACAGGCATTGATGCAGGTTTTGTCAGGAGTGCAATGACCTTCTCCTCAAGCTCGGCGAGGCGCTTTGCGGAGACGGCATCTTCAGCTTCCTTCACAGCCTCTTCTGATAGCTTGGATCGCTGCCGCTCTTGTATTTTTGATTTACTTTCTGAGAGGGTAGCAGGCTTAGCTCCACCTATGGCAGCGCCAAGTACCTTCCCAGGCATGTTGCGGGTCACACGGACCATCGCTGCAATGTTCATCACAAGTGCTATGATGCCAGCATAGAGTGGGGGCTTGGATCTATCAGAGGCATTTATAATAGCTGATAAAGAATAATGTTTAGTCAGTCTATCAGTGAAAGGAAACTGGGAGTATCACTAATTCGTCAAAAGTTTGTTCATTCATAAACTTGTAGTGGTGGTGCTAACCTTTGGTGATGGCAAGCTTCTCATTTGGTGGTGTTCCCTGGCTCTTGCAGATAGCGTCTATGGCCTTTTCAACCATTGGGACATCACAAGAATAGGGTGATCCAGGGGTCTGAAAAAGTTCACCAGATATAAAATGTGAGTACATCGCAAGTGTTAGGATTATTGAGATTAAGTTTGAGTTTTCAGCTAGCAATCCATTTAAGTTTGGATGTTGAGGTTCAACACTAAGTTTCTAACTATAAACTTTGCACTATTAATGTCTTTGTTCATTATCGAATGATCAACAATCATAACAAGAATGACTTACAGGATGTGAAATGGGGATAAGTTCCTTGTGAACAGGTGACAACTGAGGATGTTCAATTCGGCTGCGGGAAATTTTCTGTGACTGAGAACGCTGACCATCTCCAACTAATTGTGTTTCCCCATCGAATAAAGCTTGTTTCTTGATTTAAAAAACATTAAAAAATAGATAGGAATAAATACAACCACTATGCAAACATGAAAGTTGTTTTCTTTGTTTTCCCGTACCTTAGGATACATGTCATCTTCACAAATCATTTTCTCCTCAGCCTCAAGAGAGGACATACTGTGTGATCCACACCTCCCAGCACCACTTTGAACCATCTTCACATCAAAGTGGCGTTAGGAATTGAGTTAGTGCCTTCTCCTTGTTCGTGATTTATATTCAAGGTGACAAGGTTGAGGTCAAAGGGCCAGATTGGACTAGTCCTCACCTTCATGATTTCGGGATCCTTCCAAGGGCCTTTGTCAGCCTTCATGCAACCGCCTTCACACTGGCAAGTTCCACCAAAAATTTCTGGCAACTCACTGAATAATAGAAACGTGTATATTTCAGTGGGCAAATGTGCCATAGAAGTTAGCTGACGAGTTCAGTAAAGCCAAATTAGAGGACTGGTTTCTTACCTAGCATCAATCACCTCAAGAAGCTTGCTCTGATACTTGTTACCCAGAACCTATAGAAATATGGAGACGATATTTCAATTGAGTACTGGAATCATAGCTAAAGAACAAAACTACAAAAAGATGGGGAAAAAAATACATGAATCTTTGCAGTGGTCTTTGGGTCAAGAAAGCTCTTCACTGTGCCCCATAGAAGCCGGAATCCCTGGCCTGCATTAATGATGAACATCCGGCACAGGGTCTAGCACCAAAAGAGAAGATAACTGGCATGGTAAGAACAATATTGTTTACAAAATTCAGATCAAATATCTGAATACAAAACACGTATCAAAGGCATTACCTCTGGGTAGTTGTCACCATCAATCTTCTGAAGCATACCAATGAGGTCCCTTGCAGCTTTGCTGAATTGCTTCATCCCCTGAAAATGTGTCTTTGGTTACTCATTGTAAAATTCCAACCATTGAGTAGCCACCAATTTGTAAATACATACATACCACTCCTTGCACATCAAGAATTGTTGTGCTCTGATCAATATGGCGCTTCGCAGCGATTGAGCAAGCTGGGAACTTGATAGCAAAGTTCTTCTCGAACTCCTTGACATGGTTCTTGACAAAGCGATCCATTGTAGTGACCTGCATTAGCCTATTCACATCGATTTGTCCAAGCCGTTCAATGTAGACAGGCCTGCCTTCCTTATCAACCCCATGGTAACCTTGAGGGTAGCATTCTGCCACCTTATCAGCTTCTTTGAATTCGAATTCCTAAGATTGCATTAGAGAAAAGGAAAATGTTAGAAAAGTTTATGAACTAGTAGCCTGTAAATATCGATGAGAAAGTACTAATGAAAATTAAGTTGATTTTAGCAAACTCTGGTAGTTATAGCTACCTCGAGAATGGTATCTGCACCAAACTCCTTTCTCCACTTGAGCATATCAGACCACATTTGCTTTGCCTTCTCGATATCAAACTTCCTTGCCTTCAGAAATCTTCATCATCCCAAATTTCAGCAATGCTGCCACACATGAAAATGCAATCATACAATAGGATGGATCATTACTATATCACACACCTTAGCATCATGTGGTAGTCATCATGCTGTGATGGTAGGAGCTCTTCAAGTACAAGAAGCTGGCGGAAGGCATCCACAGCCTGCACCTCCTCAGGTTCACGGTCATCCAAAATTGAGATGGACATGACCTTGCTGCTCTTCCTCCCCCTCTTCATGGAATGCCTAAACTTCTGTGAGGCGCTCATAGCCTTCTTTTTCAGAGACGCGATCTTGGCTTTCTTTTCATCCTCTGAGTATTCCACAATGGATTTCCTCTTCTCGTCATAGTGTCCATCTAAGGCTGCAGATAACATTTCTAGATAAGTCAATTCTGCAAAGTTCAATTTCGGGGACTGAATTTGACTTGTAAGGATTATGTTGAATTGCCCCTGATTGGGCAAAAGAAAAGTGTGTTGCCATAAGTGCAACTTTTCAATAAAACCCACTATGTACACATTCAGACATTACAGGAATATCACAAGTTTCTTATTTCTATGAGGACAAAGAAAGAAAGTACTGTTGCAAGATATTATCTATCTCAGTCAACAAGAAAATGGTTATGGCAGTTAATTATATGCATACTCACCAGAGCTCAGATGGTGCTCATGAGATCCTGATAGGACTTCTGCCATTATTGGGTTGCCCTATCGGACCTGATAAAAGAAAGAAGAGATGGTATTGAGTTCTATGCACCGACCAGGTTAACCGGAAAGATTAAGCGGATGGGAAAAGTGGACAATTCACTTATACTTCAATAAGTCTGAATAAAAACTAAAAAAAAAAAACATCATCGCCATTGCACCGATCAAATGCTATGTTGCCACACATGATCAATTTTTGAGGAATAATGTGCTGAATTTTCAATGTGGCGATCATACACCAGATATAATCTGATTCAATGCCAAGTGGTAGGATTAAAAATATTAATTTTTAGGGTGACTTTTCTCTTTGCGTGCAGTTGAGACTAGATAATTAGTACGTTTTCAAAACATATATTCCCTCGTATTAAGGAGATAATCGATACCTGATGCTTAGCAATGATGTTACCAATACCTACCTAGAAAGTGTGCATAGAACAGAGCACAAGAACGACGAACACGCAAAGCGGCCGTGAGTGAGGCCAATGTACCAACAACAACAACAACAACAAAACGCTCGTGATTCCCCCGGCGAGCAAGCACCTAGAATGGCTAGATCGGAAGGATACGGGAGGGGCGCGCAGCTAGGGATCGAGGAGGGAAGTGAGGAAAAAGGAGCGCGCACGCACGTACCTCCGAGAGGAGAGCCTTGAGGCGGAGAGGGAGAGGGATGCTGGAGAGAAATGGCGGGGGGGCTGAAGAAATAGAGGCGGGGGTGGTGGCGCGCTCGTCGCGGGACGGAGCGAACGGGGCCAAAATGGTGAGAGGCGCGCACGACGCCCGCAGCTGGCATGGCAACGGAAGGATGTTAGTTAGCGGTAACGACGGTTCCTCGGGCAGTCTGACTTTGGAGATGGAGGACCGGAGGAGCGACAGCAGGACACGGATTCGGAAGCGCTCGTCTCGCAATAGCCACTTCGACAAATGCCTTCGTAAACCTCTCCTATAGCCACTATAGCTTGATCATCGACCCAAGCACTTTAGTAACAAGTCTTCGATAGCGATACAACTCATCATTGTGCAAAATAAACTTGAATGCACTCCTAATACTTTTTATCAACTTTGGCATCTGAATCATGTAAATAATTAATAATGGGAGTCCTCTAGTCACCTAAATCGGCCCCCAAGCTCATTAGAACAAATTTGGGCGCAATTTGGTTCGTTATCTTCCCTTTGCATCAGCTTTTCTCCGATGTTAAAATTTCATCCTCCGACGTCGAAGCCCCCAATGCTTATTGAGCCAACATGTTAGCCTTGTTGTTGTCATGCCTTGGTATATGCCAAATTTGGAATTCAACAAAGCATGAAATAATGTCAAGGACCTTGTTGAGATAGACATTGAACGGTCCTTCTAAGCATTGAAACACACCAGTAACTTGCTGGCTGCTGCACTACCGGTAAAGAGTCACCACCAAAGGCTACGACATGCCATGGATTGCAATATTTCCGAGCCAAATAAGAGAGCCTCGTATTCGGCTTGATTGCTGATTGTTGATGCAATAATAATTCAATCGGCTTGACACCTCAAAAATAGCAACATTAGAAGAAACAATGACAATTCCAGAAATAAACAGTGTTGCGCTATCATTATTAATTACGGTACATGGCTCTCTTTGCTCGTTTCCAGACCAGTAAGCATGGGACAGGATGTGGGTACAACGTAAGCACACCTACAAAAGAGGGCCAAAAGGCACACAACAACTGCCGCTTAGTGTTACAAGCGTATTCCAGGTTATGCAGTATACACATTGCTTTGAGCTACGGTACTAACTATATGGAAACAACCAAACTGTTCGTTTGCAATGTATCTAGTCCTTCAGTATCGACGGTCGCCACCAGTCGACAGGAGCACTCTAGTTGCTTTCTTACCCTTCTTCCCGGCGGCATTTGCTTTCTGCATCTCCGAGTTGTCAGCTGCAGCTACAGCTCTACTGGAAGATATGATGCTGGCAAATGATAATGCGGACGGCCCTGCATAACAGAAATATATTGTTACCGCCAGGACTTTATTGGAAATCACGTTCTACACTGATGTGTCCAAACTCCTGCACAGACCAGGTATCTCGTACCTTTGTCTCTCGAGTTTTCACTTTGGCCATTTGCATCCCCAGTTCCGAGTCTTAGGGGAGGTGAGTCTTGAGCAGATGCAAAACCCAGGCGTGTTACGTCAGAGAAAAGCTTCCTTTCACCGACTGGTGGACTGGTGGATGGCCCAGCATTGTTTCCCAGAGCTTCAGTGGAAAGAGACATCAAAATCAGCGCCAACAAGAATGAACCCAATCGCCGACGTGCATAATAAAGCAGATGAGAAAATGGGCAACAGCCAAATGCAAACAGAAAACTGCGATATTAAGCATATCAACAAGCAGGGGGCTCAGACTAATTATGAAACTCCATTCGAAGTTCAGTAAATTTACCTTCGAAGTCATCCAGAGAGAACATGACATCGTTGTGACTCTGAGAGAAATTTGTATACTCAAACCGCATAGCTGATGCCTGCACAGCAGCAGCAACTTCCGCCTTCGCTCTCTCACTTTCTTCCTATAAAAACAGAGGAAATATATGTGAAAAAGGAGCCAAAACAGGCCACACACAAGCAACATGGAAAGCAAACCATGAAACTTAATGGCTCTTGTACAGAATGATGACCTACTCATACTGTATTTGGATTCCAATTGCATCTAAATTTCCAGAAATGTCTAGGTCCAAATTAATCAATTAGGTAAGCAATTTGTAGATGATAAGCATCGTGAATTAGAGTTGCAAGTTATATTATGCCTGATGATTCTGCGCGCATCCCTGCTAGACATATACTGGGTTTCATGTGCCTCTCTAAAAACAGACTAGCAGCCAAAACCAGTCGTAAAGGGCTTCACCATAACCCAGATGGGATTCTTCCCATACGATCCAGTTGCAGTTGCCATGCTACTTTGGGAAAGAACCAACAAGTATAAGACAACAACCAAGCAGTAACAGGAACAAAATTTGCATCTAGGCATTGTACAAACATCATTGTTAAGCAATGAGAAAGCCAATATCCAAATACCTAATATCCATCAACTAACTCTCTAACAGTTACCCAATTCAGGGCATACAGATCTGGCAAATCCGAAGGGGTTGACTGCTACATAGCACAGGCAAATCAAAGTGACAATCTTTAGAATGATCATCAGATTTTTCGGATCCAGTTTTCCAAACTTTCACTACTGAACAGTTCCAAGGCATTTATATCATGACTCCTAGGACGATCCATATTTCAGACCCGAAGAAACTTTAGTTTGCAATTTTTGTAAACTAAAATCTGCAATTGGATGCCCTCCACCAGATAACCTGTTAATAAGTAATAACCTGGTGGTTTTGACCCCCAGTCTCTACTACCTGATGCATATGATAGTTCTGATGAGTTCTGAATGGTTCAACAAAAACTAATATGCAACACAGCCAACAAACTTGTTACCTTCTTGGCGGCTCGTTTTCTTTGTTTCTCACGCTTCTTGATTTCATCCAAGAATGGAGCCAATGAGCTAGGAGATACTATATCGCTCAGGTCAATTTCACAGAACTGCATAATGTGTCAGATGTGAGGCATGGTCATTGGCCAAGAGCAAAACTTGATCTTCACACCAACTTGACCTGTATGTGGCTGTTAATAAGAATACCAAATTTACCTGGAATGTAGTTGTTAATGAGAAGTGACACAAAAACCGATAGCGCTTCCTTATAGCCTCAGATTGTGTTACAGTTTCCAGCTCCAATATTTTTGCAGTTATTCTGTGTACAAATTAGCAAAGTTAACAACATCAACGTGATTCAAGCACCAATCAAAAACAGCAACAGTATCAAACTAGTTTTTATTCAAAAAAATTACTGGCGTTGTGGTAACAGTATTACAGTGTCAAAAGATACTGGCGTTGTGGTAGCATTTGAAACTAGTTTTTATTCAAAAAAATTATGGGGCTGAACAGAAAAAAATCATAATTTTCCACAATGGGTGTGGTGCAAAAACTAATCCTAGAGCTACATGCTAACCAATGGCTACAAAAAATTGGACTCCAAACAGGGATGATGGATTAAGATAATTGGTACTACCTCCAGTCAAAAATACTTGTTGCATTTGACCAATGCGTATCTTTGACCACTAATTTCTTCTAGTAAACATTTTTAAAATCCTTCAATTCTGTGATATTTTGCAAGTCTACTTGAATACAAAACTACATATATTTTACGTGTTTCCACCGCCAGATCCACCGTGCAGCAACCTGGGGCAGTCGCCCGGGCTCCACCGGAGCGCGAAAGAGATGTTTCTAGTCTAAAGGATAAACATAATATGTTGTAGGTAAATACTCTTGTATAGTGAGGATCAACCAGGCTCCAAGAAATTCCTGGATCCACCACTTAATGTTTCCAATTAAATAATAAAAAAGTTATGGATATTTGTACTTTTTACTAAGGTTTGACCAAATATTGTCCTAAACGACATGTTCTTATGACAGGAGGGAGTAATTGGCTTAAGGCAACTAAATCGCACATTCAATTTAACGATTCACACACATTTGTGAGAACCCCAAGCACAAAACATTGACTAGACCAAATACTGCAAATAAATATGCAAACATCAAGCCCTCCCACTAACCTAGTTGCCACAGGTCTGCAGAGTATAACATGCCTCACACCGTCACACGTCGCATGTAGGCATTATCTGTGCTCTTGGACATTCAGGTAAATTGTAGTGCTACAAGCAAATAAGGGCATTCTAATAGTGCTAGAAAAATAAGGGCATTTTAAGTCAGTATCTTGAAGCCCTTATTCCTTAAATAGAATGCAAGTTACACTACCATACTAGAGTTGCACTTGCACGGCAACAACAAAATAGTGTGTAAAGAAGGGATGCTAGAACTCACACTTTTAGGGAATAAGCAAAGATCATATTACCTAGGTGGAAGCATATCAGAACCTCCGAAATGGTTTAGAAGACATCTCATGTTCAGTGGATGAAGAATTAGGTGTTGGCCATCTGACACCTGCAACAATATTTAAAGCCATCGGAAACTCTGAATATGTGAAACCACAATTTGGAAAATTCATCAGTATCAAAAGCCTGAAAATCTCAAACCTGGTAAAATGTGTATGGGTCATGTTCATTTGAATCAACGGTGGTGGTACATTTCTCATTTAGTTTAGACATTGTTCCTTTACCAGAGCTTTTACTCAACTCAGGAGACATGGAGAGTTCTGAAATACCACTGACCATATCTCTATCTGAAACAGAGGAGATCGTGTGCCCACTGATCTGGTGAGAAGTATTCACATCAAAAGAGTTCCTAGACTTGAAACTAGATCCAGGAGAGAAGATATCTTTTGATGGGGGGCTACCACCATAATTTCTGTACTCAATCCAATATTTCATCTTTTCTTCCAGTTGCTCTAAAGCAGCAGAAACATATGGAAGTTTCTCCAAGTCATCAACAAGGCCTAAGTCAGCCATATGCAACCAATTACTAAGATCCAACTTTGCCACTCGAACAGACAACTCCACGTCAAATGTCAAAATAAACTTTGAGAAAACATTATATGGATCTTCATCTACTGTAGAATTTTCACTGGAGGAGATTTTAATGGAAGGAGTGAGCGAATTTCTTGACCGGCTCAGGAGTGTAAATGTGGCAACATCACCAGCACTGAAATTCTGGACTTGAGTAATTTGTATTGTACACAAATCCTTTGTTGATACCATCATGAAACACAGAGGACACTTCTTCCAGCACTCACCTCTATAATCCTCTTTGCCCATCATTAGATAACGCAAAATGCATGGAAAGCAATATATGTGTCCACATGATGTGATCTGTGGGCACAATGGGCTTTCCAAACATAGGGCATTGTACCTCAGAAGGGCTATAGTATCTTACACAGATAATATCTTCCCACTGAAGCATCTTATCAGGATCCATTGATTCAATCTGGTAATTCCCAGTATCCAACACAACAAACTTATAGTTTGCTTGGAGGAACAGATCTTTGTTGTAAGGTTTGATCTTCCTTTGTCTTCTGGGAGGATATGTTCTAGGGCCTCTGGGCTGTGGCCGAGAAATAGGATCATACTGGAAATTCAGTAGGTGATTAGCATTCACGGCCTGATTCTTCCTGGCAGTTATCTGAGTCCCATTACCCTGAAGTCCAGTAGAGCCTGAAGCCAAATGGTCAGCCTGGAGGGATCCTGCCATTTTAGGTCTCTCAGGAAATGACCCAACTGAGACAAAATTACCTACAGGGAAACCCGAATTCCCCTGTTCTGAAGAGTGGCATTCTGAAATATTGCCAACCTCTTGAGTACATGCATGATTCTCTTCCCCAGATATTATAAATCCAACTACCTGGAAGTTATTGCATTTTATCAATATGTTAAGAGCAGTAACTGGAGTATTTAATGCTAATGTGCAAAGAAAAGATGAAAAAGCTCCGCAAGCACTTCACCTTTTCGGGAGCATTAATAGATTCTCCAATAGCTGGAACCACTGGGTCTGCAAAATACGAATTGCATTGTAAAGATTATTCTGAAAACAGGAGGGCTAAAAAATGGCGTGGCATCAACGATGAGAATGCAACATGAAGTTATGCATACAACTAGTCTAACGGGAACATAATGAAAAATCTGACTTAAGATCTTAATAACAGCCAAGTTGTGAAAGTGAAATAATGAGTATAATGACACCACAACAGCATGTATAGAGCGGCTTCATTGGAAATTAACAAGCAAATCAAAGGAAAGCATCTCCATTGCCATTGGAATATTCATTTCCAATATTAGTACTCCCTCCATTCCAAATTACAAGTCATTCCAACTTTTTTGGAGAGTCAAAGCATCTCATGTTTGACCAAAATTATAGATAATTACAAAGATTTATGACATCAAATAGGTAAAACTATGAAAATATAATTAATGAATAATCTAATGGTACTTATTTGGTATTATAAATGTTATTATTTATTTAATTTATTATATAAATTTGGTTAAACTTGAGATGTTTTGACTCTCCAAAAAAGTTGGAAAGCCTTATAATTTGGGATGGATGGAGTTCTACACTGGGAGATGTCCATATGAAAACCAATTGTTCAAAATTCAAAATGCTAGAACTAGAGCTTAGGTAGCATAGTTTTTTCACTAGCTCTAAAAGAACCAACTGTTGGGTAAAAAACTTATCAACTAAAGGTCACTGCTGATCTAACTATAAGACGTTCATTTTTATGAAAAATTGTAACTTGAATCAGGTAAACAATCAATATGAATTTCAGCCAATGATGCACTGATACGAAAAATATGGTCAGATTTAAACAACTAGATCTAGATGACCTGTACACTACACAATCTTATTCTTAATGCAATGTACTGAAAATCATTCTTATACGGCACACAGATCATGACCATATTGTACACTACAAACAGAGCGTGGCCATCAAATATACATGGAGAAACAATGGTTATGATGAAACCTAAATTATATCGCTACTGTATTTTCTGCTGGATAAGAACTGAGTCAAACGAAAAATACTATCACCTGGGTGTATGAATCTATCCTATACTTTCGTCCTTCAACTCAATAAACAGCAACTCAGCAAATGATTTGCATCCAAATTCAATCAAACCTAATAGTAGCAAACATACAGTAACTACACTATAACCGTCCCACTTGACCAAGCCTAAGCCCACGAGCATTTATGCACGCGAAATTTGGCCCCAGGCTATCAAATCATTCTCGGCTCAGCATAAAACCTAGAATCTGATGGATAAGTCATGTGTGGCTGGTCTTTGTGGGGCTGTTGTTGCTCACATGGTCCTTGTGGCTGTTTTTCTGTTTTTAGGACAGCATCTTAGACTAGAGGACAGCATCTTAGAGGACAGCATCTTAGACTAGAGGACAGCATCTTAGCTAGGACAGCATATTAGCATCTTAGACTAGCATCTTAGACTAGCATCTTGGCATATGCTTGGCTGGCTAGCAGCCTATAAATATGTAACCCCAACCCCTCAGGTTGGTATGGCATTTGTGTGAGCTTGTGTGAGAAATAGACAAGAAAATTGCCCCAACTCCTAGTGTCATCCTCTCTCGATGAGAGTAAGAATTCTCCTACTACCAAGAGTGAGAATTCAGCGACTAACAGAATCCATGGCCAATTACATGAGTTAAGCCGCTGAAAACCTCAGTCCCTAATGCACAAAGAGAACACTGTAAACTTGCTAGGGGGCAAAATTCCCTCCAAGCTTGTGCTCAGCCAAGGCACGAACTGGCGCCAAACAAAGGCACGTAATCAAACCAACACCACAGCAGCTGGTAGCTCTCAAAGTAACAACCAACAGAACCTAGATCCAACCTCACCGGGAATAGGCGCGTTAAATCGATCTACGGGCGCAGGGGGACAAGTGGGAAGGAAAAATCACCGGAGCTGGAGCCGACCCCACTGTCGCCGGCCGCCGCGGATGCGCCGGGTGGCGAGACGGATGCCGGAGGGGAGCGGCGGCCGTAGCGGCGTCTGTCGCTGCCATGCTGGGGACTAGGGCTAGGGTTGTGCGGGCGCGGGTAATAGTGTCCTCCGGTGCGTTCGCGTGGGGAGATGGACATGAACCCGCGCGGGAGCTCGTGGGCTAGGGTTGCGCGGGCGCGGGTAACTGACGATGATGCCACGAGTCATGCAAATGATGACGCTATTCCGTAGATGCTTGTTAACGATCTGCGTCAAGTTGTTTCATGTTACGAGTGACACAAAGATATCTAATGCAAATGAGAGTTTCTAAATAAATTTGGTAGTATGATCAAGGCTTTAGAAAATGAAATGGTTAAAATCGAAAAATTAAAAATTAAAAACTCTTTTTTAAAGACCACATGTGAAGAACAAAAGCATCTACTTTATGTCACTACTTGTTCACATGAGGAGTTAAAATTGGCTCATGAGAAACTTAGTGTTGCTCATGATAATTTAATACAAGACCATACTTTTCTCACTAAGAAGCTTTCTAATGGAAAAAACTAAAATTACTGAGAGCTCATCACATGAGTCAATTGATCAATCACATATTGTTGCTAACCCTTGTGATGTAGGCAAGAAGCATGTATCCACCTCTTGTGATGATTTATTAGCTATGCCATGTTCTTCACGTATAGATGCTTATTCTACTTCTATGTCTTGTGAGACTAACATTTTGAAGGAGAACATTGAGCTCAAAAGTGAAGTGAAGAATTTGAGCAACAATTTAGAGAGGTGCTACAACTCTCAAGTCACCTTCGAGCATATGTTGAACAACAAAAGAAACTATGGTGACATGAGTGACATTAGCTTCAACAAAAATAAGAGCAAAGGCAAGAGATGTGGCAAGAGAAAATATGAAAGAGAGATGAAAAAGAAAGAACAAGAGAAACTCTCTTATTTCATGTGCTTCAAATGCCATGAAGTGGGACATCCTGCAAAATGGTTGCCCCAATGAAGAAAAGCTCAAGTTCAAGAAAAAAGAAAAGAGGCCCAAGCATGTAAAATACTTAAAAGTACCGCACATGGGGTCATCTCACCTCTATGTGCCCAACCAAACAATTGATGAAGCAACAAATAAAGCCTCAACTAGAGCCATAAGATGAGCAAGAAAAGAAGCCCCAAACTCAAATCAAGATCTACCATGAAGATCGTGGTGATTTGATGATAAAAAAGAAAACTAGAAGGGGTGAAAAAACAAGAGAAAGAGCAATGCGTCAAGGATGAATCAAGACGCAAAGAAAGTGAGCAAGAACAAAAAGAGAAGATAAAGAAAGTTGCTCACATCAAGTGCCATAGTTGTGATAAATTGTGCCACCTAGCTTCGGGTTGCCCAAACAAATTTGAGAAGAAGACTCAAGCAAACAATGAGAAGCAAGGCAATGAGAAACAACATATTAGCAAGGAAGAAAATGCTCAATCAAAGAGAGTTTGCTATTCATGCCGGAAAAGGGACATATAGCAAATTCATATCTCCTAGGTAATAATTTTAAGCCTATTTAAATTATTGATAATATTGTGCTTAGAAAGGATGGTAATGGTATCTCATTGGTTGCAATTGCAAAGCACCCCGCTATTCATACTAAGGCTATGCCTAAGTATGTTGCACATAACTTGAGAGGACCCAAACTAGTTTAGGTACTATCAAAAAGTGAATAATTATTTATAGGTACCATGTACATTGGAGGCCTGATTCAATAGGTTTCTCTTTGTTCATCATGTGTTGAATCAAGTTATAAATCTTAGTGCACATCCAAACTCAATGCCAAGTAAAAACCGAGTGAAGTCTAAATGCTATCAACATATAAGTGTCATATTCAAGTTGTGGATGATTTATTGGCGATATTTGATGGCTTGTAAAAAATATTTGAGTTAAAACTTGCTATGGATAATCATGAGCTAACCAAGATATATCTCTAGTTGATCATTTCATTTGGGTGCATATGAATTGATCGAATTGGAAATATACGCAATGTTGTTTACTATGAGATGATTGAATGGATAAATGCTTAGTAATCAAGTTTGGATTGATTTGTGTTGGATAAATTCGTAAGATGACATTTAGTGAGTGGATTGAATGGATATATGTATTGTGAAAGTATTCAAACAAGTTAGTTTCAAGTTTGATTCCAATTTGATGAAATATAGCTCAAGCGATTAAAATCTGTCCTATATTGAAAATCTAAGTGAGCTGTGATCTTAGCCATGTTTGAGTGATCAAACCTTCTTAGATTGCCATAAAAATTGGTGTACATGCTATAGATTTATGGTTTAAGATGCTGTACAAATTTTATGAGAATTGGATAAGAGATGCTTCAATTTTGTAGTAGATCTTGTTAGCCATAGTGCAGTAGTTTTCAGCATGTAACAGTGTGGAAGAGTTGAAATCTGGTAGCAATCTATAAGTCAAATGAAACCTAAATATTTAAAGCTACTAGATGACTTAGTGAAGCACATCTTCACCAAATTTCGTGGCATTTAGGTCTGTATATTGCGAGATATGCATTTTCTTTGAAGGGTACATAATCTGTCAGAAAAATGACAATTATTGGATTGGTCAAGAGTGACGTTAATTGAAAGGTCCTCAAGTTGGAAACATGTTCATAAGTGATTGAGGCACCTAAATTTGGTTTTGAATTGATCTAGAAGCATGGCAAGCAAAGAGCATAAGGCCATTTAATTATGGAGTATACTTGTCACATATTTGGTACTCAAATTGAAGATCAAGATCAAGCTCAAGATGAAGATAAAGTTTAAGTTCTAGTGACTATTGAAAATCATTTGGTAGAAAGAAAATAACTTAAACAAGAAGAAAGAAGATGACTTAAAGAAGGATTTAAGATTACTCATCAAGTTAAGTCCATCACTTGAATCAATTAATCAAGTCATTTCAATTGGGTAGCAACAATGGTTCTTTGGAGAGAGGTCACTTCGCCCTAGTATAAGGGCTTGCCGCCTTTTGTAGGTAAACCAAGTGTGGTACTTGAAAGGCTAACATGTAAGTGGTAATCTAAGGAACATTTGAGATGCTTAGTTGAAGAAATCAAAAGAATTGATCTAGAGAGCGAGCAACACCCAAGAGAGCTAGTCATGGCAATTCAAGTGGTACTCTAAGTAGTTCTCTCATGCAAGCATTGATCAAAACAAGAAGCAAGCCAACCACAACTCATGATAGTGCACTTGATCATAAGTGGTTTTCAAATCATATGGGTGAAGAATGAACACTCTATCTACGATGATTGGTCTTCACCAAGCTATAAATTGGACTTCACATTGCTATTGGAGTAAGAAATTAGGATCTATGTGACTATCCTCTACTCCAAAATAGCAAAGGTATCATTGTAATGTGCATGATCATTTCATCCCTTACTAGTATGCGGTTAGTGCATATAGTACATACTTATAGGATCATACATAACAAATGAAATGTTTAAATTCATAGCCTATCACTATTGCTTGAATGATTAGTTGAATCTAGTGGTAGTGTATGAGTTTGTTCATGAGCTAGTGAACCCAAGTACTTGATTTAATTTGGATTGCTAACAAGTGACAAGTACAACATTGATAAGATAACTCTCGTAAAGAGGTGTGAAGAAGCTTGCCATTGGTTCAAACCGGACTTGAAAGCTTAGGCAAATCAATTTAGTTTAAGTCAACATTAGAAGCTCATTATAGTAACAAAAGTACAAGCACAAGACAACAATACAAATGGATATCTAGTTTTGTTTCAAGTGGTATCTAGACTCAATTAATTTATAAAGTGGTATTCACAAGTGGTGTCTAGATCAATCTACAAGTGATATCCTACAAGTGTTACTCATGAAGATAGCAAATGTTCAAGAAATGTTTTTATTGACAAATCAATCATACAAGTGGTATCACATCTCTACACATGGTATCAACCATACAAGAAGGTGGTTCCACAAGTTGTAACACCCTAAAATTTGTAACATTTCAAAATCGGATAATTTGATTTATTATGTATTTTTGTGGGCATTTGAATTTAGAAAAATAATAATTTTGCTGAAATTAAAATCAAATATAGGTTTACAATCATATATGTGCATTCATGCTGCTGCATATTGTTTTTGTATTGTGTAGTTTGAAATTAAATTTCAAATTGATTTGAATTTGCATTCAAAATTGGGTTGGAAAATTGGAAAAGGAAATAGAAAAGGGATTTCTCTTCTCTCT